CTCCTGCCGGCAGCCCGCCGAGCGCACGGCGGCTCTGCCCGCGCCCGGGGCGGGGTGAGGAGCGGGGCCACGAGAGCGGCCGGCACGGGGGCTCAGGGAGAGGGACCGGCCGCACTGCCCGGTGCCCGGTGTCCGCGCACTGCCGCATCCCGCCCGCCGACGGCTCCTGCCGCCCGTCTGCGGACGCCTCGTGTGCGGGTTCGGGTGGGCACGGGACAGCCTCGGATGGAGAGCCAGCGAGCGGGACCAGAGCTGTGTGCCAGCAGCGGCGGGCGTCCTCAGGGCTCCTGCGCCCAGGGCCTGCAACTGCGGCTGTACACCCTGCTACAGGTACCCACGGGAGGGATCCGTGTGCGCGTGTGTGCGCCCAGCAGAACGAGGGATGCAGCTCCACGGCTGGCTGCACCAAGGACGTGGGCTGGCAACAGCCAGGTACCGGCTGCAGCATCGCCGGCACCAAACCCTGCTCCAGAAGTACGGGATGCCTTCAGCTCTGCTCCAGTAGTGGTCCACAGTGCACCTGACACAGGATGGGGTGGTGCGGGATGGCCAGGAGGTGGCTTCCCGGCCTTTGAGAAGTGTCAGCTGACTTTTCCAAGCAAATCCACATAACCAGTCCCTGCATGAAGTGGATCCAAGTGCAAGGACACTGCCACAGGTAGAACCATTGCATTTTAGGTTTGGGAGTGTGTTCTGGCACACAGCAGCACAGGCTATGCCTGGTATGTGCCCTCTGCTCCTGCCCATGCCCAGGAGATGTCACTGTAATGCACAAGCCTGTCCAGTGGACCATCTATCCCACAGCAAAATTTTTAATTCTGAGAAGGTGGGAGCTGGGTTTTGAGAGGACAGATGCCACCAGTCAAGAACATCCAATAGCCTGTCTCCTACAGGAACCAGGAGAGGTTTGCAGTATACAGAGATGGAACTTTGCACTGCACAGAGATGGAACCTTTTCCATTCAACAGTCACAGGCTGTGGCATAAAGGGGAAGAGGCCCAAACCCTCTGCTTTAACTTTATTGTTTTACAGCCCAAACAAATCACTGAAAAAGACATGCCCTAAACTTTGAGTGTCAAATGCCTTGGTACTGACTGAAATACAGCAGAAGGTTGTTCACGTGACAGAATCAGGGAGTGGATTGGGTTAGGAAGGACCTTACAGATAATCTCATTCCAACCCCTGGGTCTTGCTAGGATTCAGCTCCTGCCCAAGCCTTGGCTGGAATAGCTGAGCATTAAACTGATGTAGATACATCACTCTTCTGCTGCTCTCTTTGCTAGCTGCTTCTAGCATGCTGGGTTTCAAAGGGAACCTTTTTTTTCTCTTCCAAGCCAGCTGTTTTCATAGAAGAAATTTTTACTGCAATGGGCTATTCACCAGAGAAAGGCCATCACTTGCACCCACAGCACTGCCAGTGCTGCTGGAGGCTGTGTAGCAGGTGAGAGGGAGGCCTCCTGAATGGAGATGAGCACACAGGCTGTCCAGGTGAGCAAAAAGTACAAGGTGCCTGTGGACAAGATGGCGGGATCATCTGGTATCCACAGGGAGCTCCCACTGACCACCAAAGAGGGAATTATTACCATATACACTTTGCAGAGGGAAATGAAAAGACAAGGAGGCCTAGCACATGCTCTGCATCTTTTCAGCAGAGCTTATCACGTTTTTCAAAGAATGAAGATTGGCTCCTGACAGCAGCTGAGGAATGGGTCAGATCTGAGCCATGAACTCCACAGTCCGGGCAGAAGGAAGCACAAAGGCATGTAAAGGGATCACCAGCACAAGGACATCGTGACAGCTCCCTTGTCTCTTTCTCATCCCTGAAATGAGTTCAAACTTCTGTATTTGGGACTGAAACACAAAGGACCAGTTAAGGATGACATGGTCTCCCCTCCACCTTTCCAAGTGGCAAGCCATGCCTACCTATCCTCTTTGGTGCAGCACTGAGCTACTTTTTGCTTGACAATATAGTCAGAGCTGCCTCCAAGGTTCCCAGCTTTCTAGGGTGAATTCTCCTGGCCCACAGCTGCTAACACAATCATCAAAACAGCTCTGGGATCTGCTCCATCGTGCCACTCAGCCAGGAACACACTGGCCTGTTCTGCCCTGGCAGATGCTGCCAGAGTGCTGACCCAAACAGAGCTACAGGAGGACAGCATACGCAAAGGTAACATTTACTGAGAGATACAGAACTGAGTATTATGAAGGACATACACGGATGGAGAGGGTAGCGACACCACTGCAGAGGGCAGCTTGGACCCCCTTCCCAGCATGCCAGGAAAGGAGCTGGATGCTACCAGACAAGTAACACAATGGAGATAACTGTGGCATATGTGTTTGTAACAAACAGACCATTATAACATACATTTCTATGGGATCACATCTAGTGATTATATAAATCCATATAGAGATCACTGTATAAAAACTTTGTAAAAAATACTTTAAAAAAGTGTAAAAATGTGCATTCAAAAGCACGGCCGACACGGACAGCTGGGCTGTAAACATTATACTGAGTGTGCTTGTGGGGGGCGCCTGCGCCACCAAGCCCCGACAGGCCTGCCCACCAGACGGGGCTGCATCAAGTGTTTGTGGTTCTTGGGTATGGGTTTCCCTCTGGAGCATGTGCCAGGAGCAGCAGCAGCCTTTGGGCAGGGTGCTGGTGGGCACTGCCCAGCTGCCACTCCTCAGCCTGCGGCCCCTGCTACCCACAGGCTGCGTGCTCCTCGCAGGACACGCTGTGGCTTTGTGGGCCCCAGGGCTGAGAGCAGGCTGAAGGGCGTGCTGACGTATCACAGGGAGGCTGCCCGCATTGGCACCGCCAGCCCTGCTCCCAGGTTCAGCCTCAGAGTACATGGTTGGCAGGTTCCTGATCTTCTCTGTTCCCATGTTTGGTCCATAGTTCCCAAGGAAGCCCACTGGGTCCTGGCTGCACCAGGCCTGGGTGCACAGTTCTTCATACAGTACATACATTAGAGACCCTGGAAGACCCTGTGCCACTGTCTCCTCCTCCTGGCCCTGTGCCACTTTCACTTCTTCTCCAGCTGCTCCAGCAGTGGGTTGGCTTCGCTCTCAGGCGTCTTGATGCTGTCTGTCCGCACGATGCAGGTGGGACGGTGCCGGTTCAGCATCAGGATGAGCTGCTGCCTCTCCTGTTTCAGCTCTTCTATCTGGGCCTTCAGCTCAGCATTCATGAGCTCTAGACGCTCAGACTCCTAGCAGACAGGAACACAACCGCATGTGACTTTATCTAGCAGGACAAGATACAAGAAACAATTTGGCCAACATGCCACCTCTGCTCAGTCCCTCAGCCCCTGCAGCAGGGGAGCAGGCTGAAGACCTGCCAAGGCATCACATCCCTCCAGGCAGTTCATCCCCATCCCACTAAGTGCTTGGCACTTCGTGTCACACAGAAACACACAGCCACCACCTGGGGCAGGTCTCTGCCGCACCCCAGCAAAACCTGTGCCTGGCTGCTTCCCGTGGTCTGGTAAGGTGTTTGGGAACAAACCCATGTTTAAGTTTTCACCCAGCTCATCTGTAAGCATCTGCCCTTATGAAATTACTCCTTCCAAGTTGTGTCATCTGCCCATGCCTCACCACTGTTTGCAGAAAAACAGCAAGGTGCTGTGACAGTTTTTCTGCCCTGGGGTTAGAGGTGGAGTGGGCATCTGGCCTCTGAGTGGGAAAATCTTTAGGACTTCGGTCAAGGGGCCAGCACTGCCAGCCCGTCCTGTGCCACACTCACATGGGTATTCCTGCTCCAGAACTGAAGCAGAGACATTATTATTCCTCTCTCACTGCAAGCCCAGAGCCAACCTCCAGCCCACTCCAGCCCTGGTACCATGGATAAGCTCTGCCTGGGCATGAACACGGCCACCACCTTCACAGCCTCCGAAAAGCAGGGGCTGTATTTTCCCAGATAAAGGCACTGGAGCAAGGGGTGGCAGAGGGGAAGCTCAGGACGCAATGCTTCCTGCAGCTGGAGCACTGCTCTAGGGAAGTGCCTGCTGTGCCCTGGGACAGACTGGGCACCCACCCGCTGCAGGAACTCCGTCCTCTCCTTCTTCTTGTTACGACATCGTGCTGCCGCTACTTTGTTTTTCTCCCGGCGCCTTTTCCTCCTCTCTTCTTCCTCATCCAGCTATAAGAAGACAGAGAAACCCAGATCAGAGGCAGCAGATGTGGGTTGGGGCAGGAGGTAGGGGTGAGCACATGGCAGCCCCATCCATGGCAGGGCAATGTGGCAGCCACCTGGTCACGAGCCACCAGCAACATGACTTAATCCTCACTGGAACCAGGGATGCTGCTGCTACAGCCTCTACCTCCACTTTGTGGGAACACAGAGAGGGAGACACACAGCTGAGGACATGGCTGGTAGGGGACAGACAACCCTTCACAGGCTGCTCCCTCCCTGAGAGAGGGAAGAGACAGAGAATAGAGCGCCCTCCCAGAAACACAGGTGGTTTGTCACAATACAGGCTCAGCTCTGTAGCACAGACATTGAAAGCATCACACACAGCCAAGGACAAGAGGCAGAAAAACCTGGAAGTTACCCCAGCTGGGCCTGCCCCATTCCAGTGTCTGGGACTGTCTGCTGCAGCTTCAGCACCGTCTGAGTCACAGGGCCACCACAGTAAGGTGGGGACAGGTCCTGCATCCCCTGTGAGGAGGCAGGCCACAGCAGTACCTGCACTGTTTGCCATGACTCAGTTCTCTGTGCTCTTTGACTCAATCCACACAGCCCAAGCCAATAGGGCTAGAAATCCATAACCAAAGTATTTACAGATATATGGTGCAAAGCCTTTGTAAATGGCCAATAGCATGCCAACATCCAAGAACACAAACTAGCTCCTTCAAGAAAAATCTGAGTGCTGGAAAGCCCTGCAAAGTCAGGTTAAACTTTGTAGCATGGATAGAGAAGGAAAGGTCCCCAGTGCCTTCATCCACATTTGGCCTGGGTCTCTGAAATTGGAGGTGTCAGAATGAACTGCCTCATTCCTATTGACTGATACCCGCTGGCCACAAGATCACCCCACATGCACACACAGCAGCAGTGCCTGATGGTAATGAAGGCTGCAGGTGCCATCATCCACAGCAGACTGTACACACTGCTGACAGTCACCAAGTCCAAAACCCGCTAATCAAAACATGCCAGTGTGATGCACAAGGACTGGATGAAACCTGGACTCAGCAAAGGCAGGGTGAAGGGGCAGCTTAAGTAAGCTGCATGTCCAATACACAGCACATAGCATGCTGTGGAAGGCAATGTCTGAGCTTTATAGCACTAACAGTTTTGCATCTTTTCTACGTTGCTTTGCAAGGATTATACCACAGCTGCTATTTCATCTAGGGCGAAAATATTAAGCAAAGCCACCACAAGCTATGCACAGACTTCCATAATGCCAGGCTGCCACCATTCCCATGACAAGGCAGCGTCATGGGGCACCAATGTACCACACTTTGGAGAATTGGATGGGAACTGCACTGATACCCCCAAGTCCAGTCAGAAATGGACAGCTCACCCTGCACCCACATAGATGTGACAGGTTAGAACTAATCTGGAAGGCACTAACTCTACATTCTGCTGCCAGGTCTTACAAAAGTTCCTGACAGAAATTAAGAGAAGGTGAACATCAGGGTAGATGCAATTCCCCTCTGCACATTTACCAACTACTCATTTACCCCTAAGACAGCTTCTTGGTCTTTTAGTTCAAGGATTACTATAAGGGTGCATAGAGGTCACATGTGCTCACAGCTCCAAAGCTCAAAAAACACCCCCAAACTTGCCTTCAAAAGTACATCTCGGGGAGTAACGGCAACTGGAAGCGCAACCACCAACTGCACCAGCCCTGGAAACTGCCTGACATTTCCATGCCCATTGGTCCATTCAACTAGAATTACAGAATAAGTGACCTGTCTCTGACCCTGCCTCCACCCCACAGAGGGCCCAGAAAAGGTCTGTGTCCTTTAGATGGAATACAGATGCCCAAGAAAGGTGGCTCGTCACAGACAGAAGAAGCTTGAACCCGTGGTTCTGCTTTTTGACCACAGCTCCTGTGGCTTCATAGAAATATAGAAAGGTTTGGAGATCACTTAGTTCCAATTCCCCTGCCACAGGCAGGGACACCTTCCAGTACAGCAATTGCTAAAAGCCCCTTCCAGCCTGGTCTTGAATACTTCCAGGTATGAGGAATCCACAAATTCTCAGGGCAGAGAAGTTCTCTTCTTCAAGACAGCAGGTTTTCCCCATCTGCATCTGCTTGATTTCAGTTCAAAAAGGTGACATGGCCCTGGTGCTGAGGATTAGGACGTTATTCAGAGGCACATGGGGCAGTGATGGTGTATCACCCAATAGCATGTCCCAGCAGTTGATCTCCAGGGGATTGGATCCCTGTGGGTAGAAATCCCTGTGGGAATGCCTCCTGAATGGTTTCAGTCAGCAGCCTCCGAGACTGAGGTGATCATCTGCCTGAGGGGCAGGGCTCAGTCCCAGAGGGAGCACCCCAGGTAGGATTCAGTGGTGGAGTATCCCAGCAGCATCTGTCTACACCTGTCCAAGAGGAGAGCAGCTTTCCCAGTGGGGCTGCCCATCACTCTGCAGAGAAGGTGGCCCCCAACACCCACTGGATGGGTTTTGTGTGTGTCCCCAGGCACAGACACCCCAATGACAGGAGATGCTGGTGCCCCCAGCAGGGCAGAGTGAGCTGCCTTGCCCAGGCTCATGGCAAGCAGCCTGTCCTCCCAGCCACCACAGAGTGGCACCCAGCATTCCTGGGCTCCAGCACCCTGCAAGAGGAAAGCAGCTGCAGGCTGCATTGCAAAACTGTGCGTAGGCAGCTTCTTGGCTACTCATGGGATAAGCAGCTACTGCTTCAGCTCCCTCAGGCTTTTGCTGCAAAGCCTTGCCAAGGGCAGCTCCATTTGCTGTCTTCAACTCCTCAGCTTCATGGGCCATGCAGGGGAGGAACCAGCTGCATGGAAGGTAGCTGTGCAAGGGCTCTCAGTGGGTTTTCTCTTATCCTTCCTCTATATGGTGTGTAGAGGAACAGCTGGCTCAGAGGACACTCAGCAATTCCAGTACCTGCTGTGGGGCAGGCCTGCCCTGTCCCTGTCACACAGATGCCAGTGACATCACATACCCATGCCCACGAAAAGCAAAAGCAGCGGTTGCAGGGACAGCTCTGAGATGCCCAAAATGCCCCAGGAAAGGAGCTGGGCCTGGGAAGACAGCATAGCTGCAGAATCACCCTCTTTCTTCCCCAACCCATGAAGCAAGGCAGGCACTGCAGACCATTTGCTGCAATAATACCCAGGCCACGAGCTTGGAAGAGAGTTTGGCTTCAGCTGCAAATCTGTGACTTGCCCATAGAGGAATGTAAGCCATTAGCATCCCCAGAGCCTCACAATGCCCTCCCACAGTATCCTAGCCTCAGCTCTTCCCACTGCAGAGCTGTCCAGTCCTGCCCAGGCAATATCCAGGCTGCACAAGCTGACTGGACACTCTTTTAGGCACAGAGCTCCTGTGCAAGGTGATCAGATGAGCTACATCATACCAGTTCTACCCACAGGAGTCCACCTCAAACGGCTGGAGGGAAAGAACAGGGATGCTCTGCACAGGTGGGCCTGGCTGCTGCTGAGCTTCTGCCAAAAAACTGGGCTAAATTAAGTGTCAGCACCATTTGGAGAGCAGGTTGCCCACTGGAACTCCTATTTTACTCCTTTCAGCTCACAGCTCATCAGAGGCAGCTTTTCACATCATCCAGCACCTCCTTGCTCACGCTGCCAGAGAACACAAATCACCCCATCCTCACATGGCATCATCTGAGGTAACCTCACACAGAGCAAATGCTCTGTTCAGAAGGCTGTTTATGGAACCTTCTAACAGCAGCCAGCATCCTGCCAGCGTGGGACCTCTGAAACGGTGGGTTCCCAGCTCCATCTGCAGGCAGTAGGAGGTGCAAACACTCACCACTAGTTCAGCTGGAGTCAAAGACTGGACAACACATGCGAGATGAGGAAAACACTGTCCAAGTATCTCCAGCTTCTGACATGGCAGCCTGTGGTACGGAGCAGAAACTACCCACCTTCTCCATCCCAGGAAACTCGAAGTGAAGCCATGGCCCACCCCAAGCAATGGGGCAGGGGCAGGTCCCAGCCAGCAGTGCCTGTGGCACAGGCTGAGTCACTGCCCCACACACCCCATTCCCACTGGAGAGGCAACACCAATGCTAGAAGCACCAAGGGCTTGTTGGCATGGGTGACAGGCTGTGTGACTTCTACTCTGGGTGCATGCCCCAGCCTAGGGACACGTTGGTTGCAGCAGACCCCACTCCACACGCAGGGTTTGAGTTCAGATGGCTGCCAATTGCTGCACTGGACCAGGTCTGGGATGCTGAGGCTACCACTGCCAGCCAGGGACAGGAACTCAGGCAGGGAGAAGAGGCAGCCAGTGGAGCAGCTGCTAACAGGCATGCACACCACCAAACAGGGAGCCTATAAAATAGGCTGCTGGCCACTGCTGCGACAGCCAAGCACAGGCAGGAAGGAAACCCAGGCAAATGCAGACAACAGCCCTGCAGGGCCACCTGCAGCCGGCAGCCTGCAATACTCACCTCACTTTTGACAGGCTGGGGTCTCTTCCCAAGCTTCACCTCCAGGAACTGGAGCGGCGAGATCATGGCGCCGATGTTGCGGATGTCAGCGCACTTGAGCTCCTCGGCGGTCAGGGCTGTGCCAGGCAGGCCTGTCAAGGGCCCGAGGCCAGGCAGCGCACCAGCCGTCAGCGACGGGTCGGGGATCTGCCCTGGCATCATAGCAGGGGAAACAGCTTCCCAGGCTGCAGGGGGACAGAGACATCCCATTACAACCCGGTTACAGGGCCGCATGACACAGCACGGGACAAACTCATGCTACAGTCCCATCACCTCCAGGGGTGTGAATCAAGGAAGGCAGACATTCTCCCCCAGGAAGGGCAAAGGCAGAGAATAAGCAGAATCTGTATTACGGAAACCAAAATATAAGAATCCTGCCAGGAAGAATAGGCTACTGGGGTGTAGATCAGGAAGGGAAGAGACCTGAGAGGCAAAGTAGCAGAAGAACAGGAGCTGGCTGCAACGACAGTGATGTGATCCCATGGACACCTTTCTCTGGAGTACAGCGGATCAAGGTTTGCTTTTAGCTGAATTTTGATTAATTAATATGTGGATTATTAGTTCAAGAAGAAAATGGGACAAATAGGACCATAATATGCCCTAGGTTGGATTCCTTCTGGGCAGGCTCAGCCACTGGTCAGGGCTGGGACACAGCACACAAAGACCACAGATAAAACTGCAAGAAAAAAAAAATGCCACTGTACAAACATCTCTCAGCACAGACATGAGGAAACAAATGCTGGAGGGGAAGGGAAATGGTGCAAGGTTCAAAAGTCCTATCATGAAAGAAAAAAAGTGAGAATAGAATCAGGGCAAACTTCAGCAAGTCACTTACAGGGAGGTGAAAGGGAGTTATCAGTAAGTATGAAGAACAAGCAGCAAAGATACAATAAGATTAAACCTAAAATGGGAAGTCATAGAGCTGGAACTGTTACATCAGTCCAAAAGCCATTGGAGCAGATGGTTGTTGACTGTAGTGCAGGGACATCCCTGCTGTGTAACTGGCCTGGGACACTCACAAGTTACCTGCTTTCAACATTCAGAGTCAACTTCTGTCCACACAGCAGCCATTTGCCCCTCTTCTTCAACTCAACATCAAGGCAAGGGGGGGCAGTGCACACAACTCAACAGTGTGTGTGCACTGCCCCCCTTGCTCTGCCCATCCAGAGAAGTCCCAGCACACTGCAGGAGCCTCCACCCCATTCTGCCCCTGTGCAGGAGGCACCAACACAGCAGGGATAAGGACCCTCAATGTCAAAAGAGAAACAGACTAAAGGAGTGGACCCAAAATCTCAGTGTGCAGCTTCCTCAGTGTGCAGCAACCACAAGAGCCAGTCAGAAGGCAGGATTCAACAAACAGCTGGGGAAACTCATGGAGGCTCTCGCAGCACCAAGCATCAGACAAAGGAGGAGCATTAAATGAGGGATAACATGCACTTGCCCTGCTCTTTCCAAAGCATCCACTCTCATCTGCTGAGAGACCAGGTAACAGGTGATAGAGAATTTTGGCCCAGGCAGCACAGTTGTGCAGAATCATGCACACACACTTAGCCAAGCCAGCTGCCACAGCTGCTCAGCACTTGCCATCCCAGGGTGACAAATCCATGTCAGTACCAGGCTGAAAACTTGATTGAAGCTGCATGTGAGATAAAACTGCTGGATCACAGAATCACAGAACAGTTGAGGCTGGGAGGGATCTCTGGAGATGGCCTGGTCCAACTGCCCTGCTCAGGCAGAGTCAGTGGGAGCAGGCTGAACAGGGCTAATCATGACAAACAGAGAAGTTAAGGATTTCTTGGCACTGGCACATCTCTTTACCCATAGGACTATTTAATATATTTGTTAATGTGAAGGAACCAGAGATAAGCAGCAGAAGGAAAGGAAAAACAAGCACAGAGGCTAGTCAAGGGCAGAGAGGTTAATGCAAGCTCCACAGCATCCAGCACGGGTGCTGTGCAAGCTGTATTGGTGTGACAGACAGAATGATTTGCAGCAGAGAGTGTCTACAACCTGCAATGAGCTGTGAGCTGTCAAACAGTCTAATCTGCCAGTGAAGAGGTCCAGGTGTCAGCATGAGATGTCCCCTGGCAGGGTTTGCTCAGCTGTGACCAAGAATTGGGAAAGAGCAGGGAAAGCAGATGCAGCAAGACAGAAACCATGAAGAGGAATCAAGCCCTCTGCTCCAGTCATCCTTTAGGAGACCAGAAAGCGGAGAGCAAGCCAGTGTTCAGCAGTGCTGGGAGCACTGCTGTGGGGAGAGGAAGCTGGGCAGGGAGGAGGTGATCTGCATAAGGTGATTAAAGCCTGAAGAGAAGACAGGAAAGACAGAAAAGTAACTTTCCAAGAGAAGAGATACTACCTGATGAAATGGACTCCTGCCCATCTGGTGACAGAAAAGAAAGAGAAAATACTTTGTAATGCTACTTGACCTCAGAAAAGACTTCAAGTCAACTCCTTGAGACTGCAAGGACTTAAACTGATGGAAAGTATTCATTCTTCCACAGAGATCTCTAAACTAGAAAAATGTAATTCCACACCTGCAGTGGAATCTTGTACTGACATCGTGTACCTGAATCTGCACCAGCATCTGGTAAGCTGCCCAGAGATGCCCAATGCAGCTGGGCTCTGAAGCTGCACCCTGCCTCCCTCCTCCTTCCTTTCAGGCCTACACATGGCTAAGATGCTTCACCCCTCCAGAAATAAGTACCATCACACCCTGAGGCTGCACTCCAGACAGGAAAACACAAGTTATTTGGGGAGTGTGGCTGAATCCCTACCACCTTCCTCAGAGATCATCCCTCTCCAGCAGGAAGGCACCAGGTCAATGAGGTGGCATGAGAAAAGGGAGGTGAATCTAGACGTTCTTCCCAGGACCCCCTGCCACAAGACAGAGCTGTATGTCTACCATTTTGGGATATATATATATCCCTGCAGAGCTGGCCATTTCCCTGATGCTGCCACCAAGGTGACATGCTGTGGCACTGGGAAGACACCTGCCAACAGTAGCACAGCCCCGCCAGCAGTCCCACAAATGTGCGTCCCCAGCTTGAACAGCTTATGTCAAAATTTAAAAAATAAAATAGAAAAATAATCAGTAGCAAAAGTATTATGAGCATTCACTTGAAGTCTCTCACAGACTGATTTGGGCTTGAAGCCTTTCACAGGCTTCAGGATGAGAATTGACTTGAACCCAGCACTGGATGCCAAAATCCATTCTGGACTTGGAGGGCTTGGTTTTAATTTATTCATAGAATCATAGAATAGGCTGAGTTGGAGGAACCCATCAGGATCATTGAGTCCAGCTCCTGACACTGCACAGGATAGCCCAAGAGTCACACCATGTGCCTTAGACTGTTGTCCAGACACTGAACTCTGTCAGGCTTGGTTCTGTGACTACTTCCTTGGGGTGCCTGTTCTAGTACCCAACCACCCTCTGGATGAAAAACCTTTTTCTGATATCCAACCTAAACCTCCCCTGCCTCAGCTTCATGCCATTTCCTCGAGTCTGGTCACTGGTCACAAGAGTACCTGTCCCTCCCCTTCCCTTCCCAAGGAAGTTGTAGACTGCAGTGAGGTCTCCCCTCAGTCTGTTTTTCTTCAGGCTGAACAGACCAGGTGACCTCAGCCACTCCTCCTGTGGTTTCCCCTCCAGGCCCTTCACCATTCTCATGGCACTCCTTTGGATGCCCTCTAACCACTTAATCTCTTTTCTCTATTGTGGTGCCCAAAACTACTCAAATATTCAAGGTGAGGCCACACACGTGTGGGGCAGAGCAGGACAATCCCTGCCCTTGACTGGCTGGCCATGCTGTGCTTAATTTTCTTCCATCATGACATGCAGTTGACAGCACCCAGGCTGGACAGTCCAGGCCTTCAGGCAGACTGAATATAGGGTCACTGCAATTTATGAAATAAGGAGCAAGGAGAAATCCATTGCTCAGGCTGTGGGACAACCTGACCACTCAGCACCCTCCCCCATGCACTCCTGAGCCTGGGCAGGTTCCTGGGGACAAGTGGCTAAAGATTTGAGAAAACACTGTGTTTTGTACAGCACATCTTCTCCTTCTGCATCATCTGGTAGCTTGATATGCCTTGAAATAGCCTTTGTACCAGTGTAACACACAGCACAGGTCAGAGTGAAGGGGCTGGCCCAGTATCCAATATGCTCTAAAAATTCATCCTGGATCCAGGGAGTGCAGTGCCAAAGCCCAAATGACACCTGCATCAGTGTAAACTAAATCTTAAGTTCATCAAACCAAAGTGCCAGAAGCCTTCTGGATAATCTTAAACCTGCACATGAAAATGAGCTGAGAACTAAGTAGAAAGCAGGGAAATGTCTTCTACAGGTGAGGGCTTGCTCAGGGGTCAGAAAGCTCAGGAGCACATTGAGAACTGTCAAGCTGAGTTAGACCTTGGAGAGGAACCTAACACCATTCCCAGCAGGGCTATAACCATGGAAATGAAAAGGAATGAAGAGAGGTGCCATCCCTCTCTGCAGAGCAGGTGTACAGTAACAGATCATCTCCCCAGTTCTTGAGGGCCCTCAGCCCCAGGCTCTGCCACTCCTGCTGACTGGAAAGACTCAAACTTGAACAAACCTGAGTTTGTTCCACTCCTTTGCTTCTTCCTAATGCAAGGACAACTTTATTTTCATCCCAAGTCCCAGATACTTTCCCATTCTTTTCCGGTAAGTGCCAGAGGTAAGCTGTACTTTAATCATGTAAAAAAGCCAGAGCATGGAAGTCTATTTAATACTTTGGTCTTCCTCCCAAAGCCATTATCCTGGCAGACACGGACATGCCTACCTATAGCTCCAGCATACTGGTACCATGTTCACATGGTAGGGCAGAACTTTAAAGTTCAGAATCTGAGTTTGACCTCTAAGTTGCAGCTCTTCAACAGCCACATCTGGCTGGATGGGGTGAATACAGCTGGTGCCTTGTCAATTCTTAGTTAGTTTCTGGATATTCCCTTGCAGCATTTGCTATTTCTAAGGCACATGAACCAACTCACCTCTGTATTCATTCACTTCCTAACACAGTGCTTTAGTTGGGATTCTTTTTTTTTTTTTTCCTTTTCAGAACTGGTTAATAACACAGACTTTTTCCCTCAACGCCAGGTGGTCTTCCAACATCTCCTTACAAGAACTTGGAAATGTCATGTCTTCAGTAAAACCTAGCTTTCTGGTGTCCTACATTTGAACCACACAACTCCTTTATATGCATTGTATCAGCCATGCTTTTTCACATAATGAAGCCAATAGCAGCACATCAAGGGGAAAGAGAATGTGCAGTCTTGCATATGACCACTGGATCAGCATGACACCAGCTTCTTGAGTTTACATGCACCATATACTGCCTTCTGCACCAACACTATTCATCATTTTGTGCCACGACATCAAGATGCTCCAGAGTGAATTAGGAGACAAGGCTTTCTTACAACTTCAGTTCAATGATGAGTACCTTATATCATTCATTGCTCTGTTCAGAAACCATCTTTGCAGCAAAAAATCTGGTCAACACATGATTTCACAG